CTCTTAACATTAATATACGTTCCAGGTGTTTTTGGATGATCATCTTCAGCCACTGACTTCTTCCAGGTAGAAAGCAAATTTTCCATGATGTCGGCATTGTTAACAGGTCTACCTAGTTGTTTGACTAATATTTCCCTGACTTCCTGAAGATTTTGCAAGATGTTAATTTTCTTGTCTTCGTTAGCTGGTATTTCTAACTTAAAAGTTGGAGGACGCTTTCGTTTGTTTTCAGCCATGATATAATTTCTTAGTAATAATTAATAAAGCTTAGTTAATGACGATTATTCTTTGAATTTACTCCTGGTTGTATCTTATATAATATATCTAAACTATCTATACAACAGGGATCATATTTCAGTGGACTGTACCATTTTTGATAAGTTGTTATTAAAAAAAAATGACAATCAACAATTACCTTTTTGTGAATAATATTGTTATAAATTTAATAGCACTTCTAACTTTTATTTGATAAAATGATTTTAATAATTTTATGGGGAAGAATTATATTCATATTATGATAGAAATTGACACATGGTTGCCCCCACTACCCCTGTTTAGGTTTCAGATGGAATTGACCAACTTCCACAGGCACATGGAGGGACCTCCCGCCAAATGTCAATAAATCAGCCTAGCTGTGATACAGAGAAGGATAAGAGGGCTCAGTGGGGAACATCCATAATATATGTGCATCAAAGAAATACAAGCAGTATCCAAAATATATACATATATATTTCTTAAAACCAGTCATCTACTTTTATAATTTCCAGTTTTATCAATAAATAGAGTTTATAGTAAACTAAATGAAATCCTGAGTCCCTTAATATACCTCTCCCCTGAAAAACTTCCCTCCAAAACAAAACGCGGTCTCATTGTAGCAAAATGGAGGAACAAGAAGAGAAAAGTGTTATTTCATTGAGAGTTAATTCCGAACAAAGAGAAGCTATTATACAATTCTTTAATTTTAATAACTGGGATTTAGAAGAGATGAATGAAGATACAATTGAAAATGATAGAAATGAAGAGGAAGGCATGAATTTTGAAAGGACATACCTTATCCCGCAAAATGAAAACTGTGAGGAATGTCAGAATTGTTTATGTAAACCTTGCATAACTGACGAACGCAATAAACAAATGTGGTGGGCATCGGAGCCTGTGCCACCAAACACACGGAACAGTTCTCTTAGAAAAGAAAGGTACAAATTCTTTTGGACTATGCTTTTTCATAGAGGTGTGTTTTTGGATGAGAGATATATAGCGAGGAAAAGAACTGCTTTACTCAATGATCCAAGATTACGAAACGTTGTGTGCCATCGTAGGGATATTTTACCAGAATGCGTTTTAGAACTTGTTAGGTATTGGTTTCTGAATCCAAAAAATAAGCCATACATGGGACATCGTTGGAACTAAAAAATATTTTGAAGATTTCTTTTTTAATAGTGTGACTTTATAATTATGATTTTTTTGTTTTCATTTCCACTTGATTGTTTTCTGGGTCTAACCCTGCTGACAGCCACAGACACGTGTCACGCTGATAATCTTTGTTATCTCGCCGATGTGATGCTTCACTACAGTGACTAAAACAGCATGACTGACCCACAGTGATAATTGTTTACACTCTCTGTGTTCTAAGCATGGGCTTTGTTTCTAATTTACAACTTGATGAAAGGATAATAAAAAGTATTGAGGATTATTTTCGGAGTATTTTCGTCTTTTCTTTTGAGGTGAGAATATGGCAGCCATTAGCATGCGTCAATAGCGACGGGCATTTCCGGTATAAATGTAAACATTCTAAAGCTGTCCATCAAACTCCAAAGAAGTTTGAAATTTCGATCGCCTCAGAATTTAAAATGAATATTATAGGCTGTATATATATTTTTTACTCTGTATTGTAAACACCCAAACACACTTGATAGCTTAGTTAGATTGCTCAACAACTTTCGGAAGATGTTTATTGACGGTATAGATATAATTTCAAAAAAATCTCCTGCGAAGTGAAGAGTGGCAAGAAAGTTGAAATTTCCTCCATTTTTCTCATTGGCTGCTATTTATACCCCAGACCCGCACTTTAAGCAAATTGTGAACACCTCTCACATCTAGAAAACATTAGTGATTTGATACCTTCTCTGAAAAACCCAGCGGGGGGTATTTGTCCCTTTTGGACAGTTCTAGTTTAGACTGGATAATCAATTTTCTGTCATTTCCATTGTATCTGGTTTCTAATCATTGATGAAAGAACAAGGTTCACTTGGGCTTTTTTGACCATTGAATTTCTGAAAAATCAAAACTACTTAGATTAAGTTGACAATACATTAAATTTCTCTGTGATCCTTGGTAACTGCATATCTATCGAAAGTGTCATAATTTTCTTGCTAGTATGTGTATTATTATGAAGTGCATTATAATATCCTCAAATCCTGAAAATTTCTTCAAAAATGGCCAAAAGTTCATAGTGTTTTTCAATATTTTGCATAGAGTCCAACCTCCAATCTAAAATCTGCAATTATATAATGAAAAAATTCCTTTGAAGATTATAAAACATTACTTATTTTTTGGATGGAGGGATGGGCTGAAGTGCTCAAGTGAGCTTTTCTTATCACTTTTTGTCCGGCGTCTGTCTGTCCGTCCATCTGTCTGTCTAGCTGTCTGTAAACTTTTAACATTTTCAACTTCTTCTCAAGAACCACTGGGCCAATTTCAACCAAACTTGCCACGAAGTATCTTTGGGTGAAGGGGATTCAAATTTGTTCAAATGAAGGACCACACCCTGACTTTCAAGGGGAGATAATAAAGAATTAGTGAAAAATTAATAGCATCTTTTAGAACTCTTCTGCTCAAGAACCACAGGGCCAGGAAAGATGAAACTCATGTGGAAGCATCCTGAGGTAGTGTAGATTCAAGTTTGTTCAAATCATGACCCCCTGGGGGTAGGGCGGGGCCGTAATGGAGGATCCAAGTTTTACATAGAAATATATAGGAAAAACCTTTATAAATCTTATTTTCAAGAACAGCAAAGCCATGATAAGTCATATTTATATGGAAGCATTCTCAGGTAGTGTAGATTCAAGTTTGTTCAAATCATGACCCCCGGGGGTAAGGTGGGGCCACAATGGAGGATCAAAGTTTTACATAGAAATATATAGTTAAAATCTTTAAAAATCTTCTTCTCAAGAACAGCAAAGCCATAATGAGTCATATTTATGTGGAAGCATCCTCAGGTAGTGTAGATTCAAATTTGTTCAAATCATGACCCCTGGGGTTAGGGCGGGGCCACAATGGAGGATCAAAGTTTTATTTAGAAATATAAAGGAAAAATCTTTAAAAATCTTCTTCTCAAGAACAGCAAAGCCATGATGAGTCATATTTATATGGAAGCATCCTCAGGTAGTGTAGATTCAAATTTGTTCAAATCATGACCCCACGGGTTAGGGTGGGGCCACTATGGAGGATCAAAGTTTTCACTTAGAAATATATAGTTAAAATCTTTAAAAATCTTCTTCTCAGGAACAGCAAAGCCTTGATTGATCATATTTATTTGGAAGCATCCTCAGGTAGTGTAGATTCTATTTTGTACAAATCATGACCCCTGGGGGTAGGGTGGGGCCACAATGGAGGATCAAAGTCTTAAATTGAAATATATAGGAAAATATTTTCTTCAGAAGAACTGCAAAGCCATGATTAGTCATTTTGATATGGAAGCATCCTGAGGTAGTGTAGATTCAAGTTTGTTAAAATGATGACCCCCGGGGATAGGGTCTGGCCACAATAGGGGATCGAAAATTTTACAAAGGAACATATCTTCTTCTCAATAACTGAAAATCATGTTTGGTCATATTGTTATGGAAACATCCTCAGGTAGTGTAGATTCAAGTTTGTTCAAATGATGACACCTGGGATAGGGAGGAGCCACAATGGGGGATCAAATTTTTACAAAGGAATATATGGGAAAATTTTTTAAAAATCTTCTCAAGTACAACAAAGCCATTTGTTATACTGACATGGAAGCATTCATCAGGAAGTTTAAAATTCAAGCCCCTCCCCCGGTAATCTTTTCAATACTTAACTGATTTGTGCTTTTGCCTAGCCAATGTGCTCAGGTGAGCGATGTGGCCCATGGGCCTCTTGTCTTAGTTGAAGCATTGCCATAAATCAAAGGATTTTACAATGCTTGGATTTGTAGCTCTGTGGTTTATCTGTCTGAACTTTCTCAATCAGAGAACAAAGTTCTGCAGATAGGTCAGTTAATTGGTATATGAGTAGGGCCATTTTATTGATAAAGTGAACCTAGCTCTTTGCAACCAGGTGGTAAATCCTCTGAAATCACAAAATTTTCATGGGATTTAGTTTTCATTATTTTTGTTATATAAAAAGATTAACAAAATTATTTCCTGTACAAAATGTTGAAATTTCAAACAACAAGAGCATGTTTCTTCTTCAACCATAAAATTAAATGTTAAACCCCATGAACCAATTTTTCAAACCTCAAACCATGAAAATTTGAACCCATGAAAAAATTTAGTGATTTGAAAGTATGCTGCATACTATGGTTTCTTTATTTCTATGCCCCCATAGTCAGAGATGGGGATCATATAGTTTTTTGGTCAGTCTGTCTCCAGCTGTGCCCTTGTCCACAAAAACAATCTTGCCCATAACTTTTGAATTGTTGGTGCTAGAGCTTTTTAGCTCACCTGACCTTCATGAACAATTTATTCTGATAATAAATGTTTGTAACTCAAATAACATACATAAGCAAATGTGCTTTGTGAATTTCATGTGTTTTTTTTTTTTAATGTTTATTTCATGTAAGAAGAACAAAATTACAGTTTAGATTCAAATAAAAATTCCCTTGGATTTAATTATTTGCAATTCATGTGAATTCTCATGAATTTCTTTTTACACAAGTTTTAGATTATTATTTCTTTTTACACAAGTTTTAGATTATTTGACTATTAATGTAAAACACTTTATGTTTCTCTATTTAGTGAAATGTATTACATTTTTAGGTCATACTAACTATGTTGAGGAAAGGAGAGAGAAACTCTGCCAGAGGAATGAGGGAGATTCTTTTGCAGACAAAACTGATAAAACCAAGTGAAACAACCATCAATCAGATTCATTTTGAATTGATAAGATTTGTATGTGAACTGATGAAGGGAAAGATAATAGTCAAAGGAAAATGTGGATGTCCAAATGAAATAGTGAACAAAGAAGAACAGATTTTTATTAGGTAAGACACATTTTATAGAAATGAAAGGATTTTAAGTTCATTTTAGTTTGAATAAATCAGTTAAACATAGAAAAGATAATTAATGGCAAGTGAACTAAAAATTTTGACCTGTTGCCATAGGTTCCAATGTGTTTTCTAGTTTGTAGTTTGTAAACTTTTGAACACTTTCAGCTTCTTCTTAGACTGACTGAACTAATTTTAACCAATTTAAGTATGTAGCATAAATCTATGAATGACAAGGAAGTTTGCATAAAGGATATATGCTGTCAGGAGCCCATTTTTTCTACAACGAATTATATTTATTCTACAACAATTTTGGTAGTTTTCAAACAAGAGTAAATGATTAATACAACGCCTCGCAGTACAGTTAAGGTGCCAAATGGAAATATCGGCGAATTTTTTAGATAGAAAATACATTCTTTATACAAGGATGGGCATTTCTTTCTAGGACTTTACTATTATCGGACAAATGCAATGTGATTGAAAACTACATGTTGAGGATAATTAGATTTCTTATTTAGACTTGTCACGTGATGTGGCAGTCACGTGATTTTAGCAAATATACCTGAAGTATTGAGGTAATCTATAAATTCTAATATTGCAAGGGCATAACCAAGTTAAAAATCTAAGTTTAACATATAATTATTTTCAACACTCTTTGTAGTTTGTGAAAAGTGCTGCAAACCTATATAGATTCTACTATCTAATTGCTAAAATTACATTTGTTAGACCGTATGTTGAATATTTTGCTGGTCAAGTACATTAAATATAGGTATAATTAATTCATTTGCAAGATTTCAACAGGTTCGCATCACTTTTCAAATATCTTTATGCTTCTTGAGTTTATGTGTAAAAGCTTGTCATAATTCATTGAGGGCATGCCCTTGCAATATATCTACCGTATAACGGGTATTTTCTGCGGTTGTCCAATTTTTGCAGAAGTTTGCGGATAGGACAAATCCGCAAAAATTACAATCGCAAAATATTTTTCAATATTTCTTCAGATATATATTTTATACATGCAAGTATGATAAGTGGTGCGTAAGTCCTCGTTAGCGAGAAAATTCGGATGTCATCGAAATTCCAAGATTTTAGATATCAGGATTTTTCCAAAACATATTGAATAAAACGTTGCTGTAAATAAGTTTATACAAAAACATCTTTTCTTGTACCTACTTCTTTATTTTATACGGATATACATGTACATGTAAATGACTAAAAGAGATTTCGCAATTAATAGTCCAAACTCCGATAGCTGCAAACAACACATAGTAGCTTTTCTTTCTTTCTTTAACACTTTTTTCAATCTTGTGTTTTATCTGGAGACCATAATTACTGCTTGTATAGTATACACAAAGTGGCTTGATTGTCTCGTGAATTTCACACAATGCAGACGACTGACAGGATTAGTTACGCCTCAATGCACATGGCACCTGTGATTGTACACGGTCAACTTTAGGTTACTTGATTATGTAACTGTTTGTTTGAGCCTAAAATATAAACACCAGATTAATTTTGATGGCAATTAACTATAAGTGTATTTTTTAGAATATGGCTTGGATGCATTAATTATCTATATATTAAAATATTTTAATAGATCGCATAAAACGTTTGTTATAATGTAGAATAAAGATTTTTTATTGTTGTTTGGGTGGACCGATACATCAAAAATTCATTTCAATTGGGACTCGACATAATTTTACAAAGACTAACTGAAAGATAGTAGTTTAATTAAGCTTAATAGCTTAATACCAGTTCTCATGCAACTTTGATCAATATGTCTCAATGAATTTATAAAACGTAAAGATGGCAGCTATCTGATAATTCTTAGAGATTGTTGATCATACCCAGTAACTAATTTTTTTGCGGTATAATGCAACCGCAGAAATTGAAAACGCAGAAATTAATTTGCTATCTTTTAGGGGTTAAATCGCAAAAATTTCCAACCGCAGAAAATACCCGTTATAGGGTATTTATTACGACCCTTCTGTTACCCTTCAATGAATCTGCATACAAATATACGACAGTATCGCTTGTCTAGAGAATGTACGGGAAGTATATGAATAAAATCATAAAATAGACATCGCATCCAAGTTAATGGCCTCTTATAGATCTACAATTTATATTTTATTTAATTACAAAATACATTTTTCATTGTATAAATATAACTTGATCCGCCTCTCACTGCATACAAACTGCGTCAAATTTTACATTATGACGTCACATTGACAAGTGCATTGTGATCAATGAATTGTTTATATATTGCTGTGTGGGATTTAACCAACAACAATAATGCATGCACTAGTTAGTATTGATAAAGTTTAAAGCTATTCAACAGTTTAAAATAGCAAATCATTTCATTTTGTGGTAATTTGAAGAACTTATGTTTTTTTGTGATGTCATAGTAAGCATTTCCCGTAAAAATTAGGCCCCGCCTCCTTACTGCAGCCTTAACTGTGCTGCGCTTTTGAAAAGTTTCAGTAGTTCTGACGCAAAATTATGAGGATAACTGCATTATCGTTGATTTTTTAGACCCTATAGCAGCCAAAATCGTCATGGTTTGTGACCATTTGTTGTTTATGAATAAAGATGAAAATATTGCGTGGGCCTTTCTATGTACAAAAAGGGATATGCCTGTCAAGACATTGAATAGATTTGGCTCAAGACTCTACATATCATGTAGACAATGTTTTCCAGTCGAGAATCAAAGTATACTGAATAAACTTATGGTACCGTATTTGGCCAAATATAATACGCATTGGTGTAAAATAAGCACCCCCTTTCGGAGCCTGAAAATTTGGGAAAAAACGCAGTTCGGTTGTATTATACGCAGTCCAAAAATTGATCTAGCGGTAATCTTGTCTTTTTTATATCGCGGCAATTTTTACTTAAAATCTTTGTGGAAATAATGTATCTAAAATTTAAGCACGATAATTTTTCGTACGCAGATTTTGTTTTGTTTGTTTGTATTTTTTTTAGCTTGCGGTAGTCCTGATTTTATGCAAGGTGGTAATCTTCACAGAAAATTTTAATTTCTAAAAGTATGAAACGTTTTTGCATTATACTTAATATTTTTAAGCTAACGGCATTGTTGGTTTTTAAAATCGCGGTATAATCTTATTAGATATTGTAAGATTAACAGGCTAAATAATTTCTTTAAGCCTACGACAATTTTGAAATCAAACATATAGGTAATGATTTTATTCAACAAAGCACGAGATATTACTGCATTTTTTTTTTCCTTTTTAGCTAACGTACGGCAATCTTGAACAATATACGTTGTCTTAATCTTTGCAGAAATAATTTTATTTCAACAAAGCACAAGATACTGTTTAATTTCAGTTTAAACAGATTGACTTAAATCTTTATTCCGCAATTTTAATAATGACTTTATACATCGCGGTAATCTTTGCGGAGAAAATCTTATTTTCTGCTGAGCACGAGTTATTATAAATTAGTGTGTTTGAGTGAAGGGGGGAGAGTCAAAGGTTATTGGGTTTATACTACATTGTATATCAAATCCCTTCAAAATATAATGCAAGCATTCTTTCATAAGTCCCTCTCTCAAAGTATTTTTTCAATAATTATGCTGATCTTTGGGTTGAAAAATCTTAATACCGGTAATTGCACTGTAGAATTCAGTCATGAAACTCATCATTATCGTTTGATTCCTCTGATTGCAGGGTGTTACAAATTGAACAAAATAAATCAATTGATCGTGGTTTACAGGAAAAAATAAAAAAATAAAGAACTTGTAGATTACATACATGTAATTATCATTTTATCTAAATAAATTTTCTACATATTTATGGGATGAAAGTGAAAGTTTCTCTGGTTAAAATTTTATTGGTGCATGTCTGGATTTATCAGATACATGTATATGTAAACTGGTAAATACAAAATAGTTTTAAAATAACACTGTCACTGTATTTGCCTCACAGCCTATGAAGATTAAATATTAAGTACATGTTTAACTTTTAAGAACTCCCCTATACCATATATTGAAAGAAGAAACAAGACTTGCCACTGAACAATTACAAGTGATATATAACAGAACAAAAAAGTCATTTTTATGTGATAACAATTTGAAAAAATTCTGATGAATTGTTTTTAGCTCACCTGAGCCAAAGGCTCAAGTGAGCTTTTCTGATCAAAATTTGTCCGTTGTCTGTTGTCGTTGTTGGCATTGGCGTTGTTGTTGTTGTTGTTGTAAACTTTTCACATTTTCATCTTCTCCTCAAGAACCACTGGGCCAAATTCAACCAAACTTGCCACAAGGTATCCTTGGGTGAAGGGAATTCAAGTTTGTTCAAATGAAGGGCCACGCCCTCTTTCAAGGGGAGATAATTAGGAATTAGTGAAAAAATAATGGCATCATTTAAAAATCTTCTTCTCAAGAACCACTGGGCCAGGAAAGATGAAACTTATGTGGAAACATCCTCAGGTAGTGTAGATTCAAGTTTGTTCAAATCATGACCCCCGGGGGTAGGGTGGGGCCACAATGGGGGATCAAAGTTTTACTTAGAAATGTATAGGAATATATCTTTAAAAATCTTCTTCTTAAGAACAGCAAAGCCATGATTGGTCATATTTATATGGAAGCATCCTCAGGTAGTGTAGATTCAAGTTTGTTCAAATCTTGACCCCCGGGGGTAAGGTGGGGCCACAATTAGGGATCAAAGTTTTACATAGAAATATATAGGAATATATCTTTAAAAATCTTCTTCTTAAGAACAGCAAAGTCATGATTGGTCATATTTATATGGAAGCATCCTCAGGTAGTGTAGATTCAATTTTGTTCAAATCATGACCCCCAGGGGTAGGGTGGGGCCACAATGGGGGATCAAAGTTTTACATAGAAATATATAGGAAAATATCTTTAAAAATTTTCTTCTTATGAACAGCAAAGCCATGATTGGTCATATTTATATGGAAGCATCCTCAGGTAGTGTAGATTCAAGTTTGTTCAAATCATGACCCCCAGGGGTAGGATGGGGCCACAAT